ATTGAGCAGCGTATGCTGCCTTTTAAAAAATAAACTTTTTTATAAATGCGATTATGAAGCAATTACAATTGTATGAAAACTTTATAAAGGTTTAGAGCCTCCTGTAAGAAATTGTGGATGTGAAGGTACCTCGACAAATTCGAAGGCAGTGGTTTCCAAGATATGAATTATGAATTTTGGGTCTAGCAAGCCACAGTTCAAAGCGATTGAAGCAAGAAAAAGAAATCTTCCGAAAAATGTCAAAACTGGAACAAAGTCTCATCGGCTTTGGCCACTTGCTACCAAATGCTTTCAAGGAGGTAAACCGAAGCCACGTAGTCCCCTAGACCGCTATCAGGCTATAAGGATATGTAGGTAGAGACGGGGGTTCACACTAAATGAATAGACACAGTTGAGTTGGATACGTCTGAAATGCTCAGTTGAAATAGCTCATGAGGGGATTTCTGAAAGTAGCGTAAAGAGTGACAGGAGAAACAGCTTCAGAGAGATTTCAAGCAGATCTCATATAGCTTAATGAGACCCTAAATCGAGCAATGGTAACTACAAAGGATTCTTTGGATCCTTCGAAGGAATTACGACAGACTGAGACCCAAAAGACCTCCTGCTGATGCTGCGATGCGGCTCCCGTAAAAGCACAAGTTTAAAGGGGAAGAAAACTGCAGAAATAGAAGAGTTAAAGGTACGAATTTCAAAATTTCGAAAAGAATGGTTGGAGGTTGATTGCTGCTAAGCAGGAATCGCACAGGAAAACGAAGTTTTACAACAAATCACCAAAGGAAATTGAAACAAGTGGAAGCAGTACATATCAATGCACAGCAACACGGATGATGGAAAGATTGGCGATATGACTTGATGCACTCACCAAAGCAATGCGATCGACGGGTTAGGTCAGATGGTGAGGTACGGTCAAAAACTAAACCCGTGAAATAACATTTTCACTAACTCTCAGCCTTCTAAACCTTAACTAAGGTTAATGTGTAGGCAGACAGATCGGGAAAACCTTCTAAGGATTAAGTTCTATGTACGGCTTTCTATGAACCTCGGCATAATTGTATCATTGAGTTTGCTCTTTTCTTGAACTCTTCACGAGGTTTTAAATATGCTTTATTAGGCTGACGTTTCGGCGGAATCGCCTTCTTCAGAGCCTGGAAGGATCATAACAATTTGTGACTATCCGATCAAACGTCTCCACCAACCCAACCAAAGCTCGAGACCCCCAGGGCACGCAAGTGATTGAAAGGAGAACCACTCACCGTAGCTTTGTGGATTCTTCGAAACCANCCAGCGAGTGATGGTACCAACCGACCAGTGTCAGCTGGGGCATGTCAGCTGGGGCATGATTCTTAAGGATGATTGCCATTTCCGATGACAAACCAAGCGGATTCTGACAAATGAGACTTGCTTGGGTAGACGGGCAGAGATGATCTGAGCAGCACCTACTGATCGATAAGTTCAACAATCGTGGCAGTAACACCGCCTCCCCACTGCCACAATCTGAACACGATCGTTTCAATGTCAGACATTATAACTACTGTATCCTAACGTTGTTTATAATTACTGTTCTGCATGTGTGAACAGTAATTATAAATAAAACAAGTAATCATTGCTGGAGAAGAGCAAAACGAAACCAATCACAAGAAGTGCTGCTCAACAGCGTAATCATACACATCGGAGATAGCTAGTAACTACCTTCACTATGAAATCCATCAATGGAACAGGGAACTACACTGTTCTCTTTCATCTTCGATTCACTTCCTGCCATCGGTCTCCTACAACTTATTTCCTATTTTTTGATTTGCTGAAGATCAATACCGAACATAGTACGGAAGACGAGAGAAGCGAAAGTCCAAAGCTGTAAAATAGGAAGCGAGAAAGAAACGGACAATTGAAAAAAACGAAAGGAGGTAACTAAGCAAGGAAGTACGTAGTAATAGAAAGAAAGCGGAAAAAGTGTAAAAATGAGGCTGAGTGAAAGGACGAAAGGAATGATCGATTGCAGCAAACTTTACCACAAGAATACCAATTACCAATCGACACCCAAGCGTTATTTTATTTATCCCGTAAAAAGTGAGTCTGTTTGGGAACTAATGGTAAGGGAAAATGCAAGACCAAGGGCGGTAAACCCGTGACCACATTCCGACAACTTACCATGAACTCGAGATTCCCTTGAAGCTTCGGACATCTAACAAAACAACTGCCATAGTAACTTCCACGTACGGCTTTCTATGAACCTCGGCATAATTGTTCTGCTACTGAGTTGTTTTCTTTAACTCTTCACGAGGTTTGTATACAAGCTTTATTAGGCTGACGTTTCGGCGGAGTCGCCTTCTTTAGAGCCTAGAAAGATCATAACAATTCATGACTATCCGACCAAACGTCTCCACTGCCACACTGAGTTCGAGACCCCAGGGCACGCAGGTGATTAAAGAAGAACCACTCACCGCAGCTTTGTGGATTCTTCGAAACCAACCAGCAATCGACGATGGTAATAATCGACCAGACTCAGCTGGGGTAAGTCTTCATTCAGAGTCTCCATGGGAAGGCCAACTTTATATAAGGCCGCAGCTCCCGCGTGATTGCGAGGCATTCTTCCCTACGATTCATTTTTGGATCGGTGACTTGTATCCAAAATGCCTCAAGGGTTTTCCACGACCTCCACGGTGACTTCAAAAATGCCTCCGTTGTGCTTTTGTATTCGATGACTCCC